CTGCCCAGGCGGGTCTCGAACCCACGGGCTCAGGCAATCCACTCACCTCAGCCTCCCAAAGCGCAGAATTACAGGCTGAGCCACCGAGCCCGGCTAGAATTATTTTCTTTAAAAAAGAATAAACAGCAAGCCTGAGCGGAGGTCTTCCTTAGTGCATTTACAACAATCAACAAAATGTCGGCATGTGTCTGAAAGAGGATTTGAAACAAGCTATCTGGGTTCAAATGGTTCAATGACTTGCAGAGCGACTAGACATTGGCCTCCAGGGTTACCTTCTCTACCAGAGGGAACACAGATAGTCATCACAGCTCACCTGTCGCTGGTCTCCACACGACTGCCAGACATAGTGTCATTTTCTGAGAAGCCATGACCTTCAGACAGGACTCTAAAGCGACCCAGCTAGCTGGACATGTGGTGGCTCATGCCTGTCATCCCAGCACTTTGGGAGGCCATGGTGAGAGGACTGCCTGAGCCTAGGGGTTCGAGATCAACCCAGGCAATTTGGCAAGACCTCGTCCCTACAATAAAAATTTAAAAAAATTAGTGGGGCATGGTAGCGCATGCCTGTAGTTCCAGCTACTCAGGAGGCTGAGGCAGAAGGATCATCTGAGCCCAGCAGGTCGAGGCCACGGTGAGTTGTGATTCTACCACTGTACTTCAGCCTGGGGGACAGAGTGAGATCCCCACTCAAAAAAAAATAAACTAAATAAAGAAAATAAAATAACCTTGCTGACCTTATAGGTCACATGATCGACCGTCCACCTACATCCAGGTATTTGGACAACATGCGTGCCCCTCTTTGTTCCCCCAGTTACATGGCTCTGGTTCTCTGCTATCCCATCAGCCCGCTGGAGGACTGCATTCACCAGTCCCGTGGAGGAGGGGCTTGCCAACCGGAGACATGCTTGCACAGTGGTTCTGGGACCCCCACCAGCCTACTGTGGGGAGATCTGTTTTGCTTCAGCCTGCCATAATGTCCTTCCTGTTTAGGGACCACCCTTGCAGTCTTGGATGAAGGCCCGGCCTGTTCTAAGAAGCTGGACCAAAGCTCACCCTGGCCTGTAGGTGGGCACCCCAGGGCTGTGGGAAGGCGGTCTCCGTCTGTCTGACCACCTCTCATGCCAAGTCCTTTCCAGGCCCCTCCTGCCTTAATCATGACCCAGGCTCTGGGGGACTTTGCCTCTTGAGTGACAGAGGCGGAGAGGAAGCAGAACTCCCAGGCAGCTGGCCCTCTGAGACTGGACGCAGGTGTGAATGTGGGCATGGTGCCCGAAGGGAAGTCAGGGTCAAAGGGAGCTTTCCAGAGGAGCAGCCAGGCCGCAGCTGTGCTGTCAGGAGCCGGTGGATGCGGACGCTGGGCTCAGATCCCAGTGGGACCCAGCCACCCCCTTTCAGTGCCTCAGTTTCCTGATCCGTATGGGGGATAACAACAGCGCTCCCCTCACTGGACAGTCGTGCTCAATTAATGGACAGATTAAGACACTCGAGAAGGATGTGGCCCACTCAGTCTCCATTTTGCTGTTATCAGACTTGTCCTCAGACGCAGGCTGGTGACCTCCAGCCCCTCCCTCCCGTCTCAGACCCCAGCCTGACATCCAGCCCCTCCCTCTCTGTACTCAGACCCCAACCTGGTGACACTCACCCCTCCCTTCCCGTCCTCAGATCCAGCCTGGTGACACCCAGCCCATCCCTTCCCATCCTCAGACCTCAGCTTGGTGACACTCAACTCCTACCTCCCATTCTCAGACCCTAGCCTGGTGACATCCAGCCTGTCCCTCCCCATCCTCAGACCCCAGTCTGGTGACACACAGCCCTTCCCGCCTAGCCTCAGACCCAGCCTGGTGACACCCCAGTTCCTCCCTTCCCCCGTTCTCCTGTTCCCGGCCCGCAGCAGTGGCGTCTCCAAGCCCGCAGTGCTCTCCGCAGAGTGGGTACGGGACCGCCCCTCTCGGCGGCCAGGGCACGCTGCGACAGAGGGCACCTAGCACCCAGCGACCCGCGGGCTGCATCCCTGCCTCAGTTTCAGCAGGGACACCACTAGCCCTGCCGTAGGAAGGGCTGAAGCCTCACCGTCGCCGTCCTCTCTCGAGGCAGCCTGGCACCTGAACCCCCATACGTCTGGACTGTGGGCAGGGGGCCGCTTTCCGGACTCTCTCGAGGTTGGGCGTGGGCCTGCCTGGTTCTTCCGCCAGACGCAGCCACGATGGGCTGAAACCAGGCTCTGGCGCCGGATCCAAGCCCAGGAGGGTGGGCAGCAGGGGTAGAGACCAGTGCTCCCTCCCCACGGCCCCAGCTGGGCAGGTGCCTTTTCTCCGCCAGGGCTGGACGCTTCCTCCCCAGGGAGGCCGCCGAGGACTGAGGACCGGACGACGCTGGCCAAAGCCTGCCCGCAGCGGGGAGCCGCCCGGACCCCAGGGGAGGAGTCCTCACCCAGGAGACCCACGGACACTGGCGCTGAGGTCCTGGGCGAGGCAGTGCCCGAGCGCAGGCAACGCCCCTCGCGAGGAGGAAGCGCCATGGCTATGCACGTGTGAACGCTGCAGCTCAGGGATGTGGCCTGCAGGCACCAATCAGGCATCAGGCGGCTCCCGTGTGGGCCGCCCACCTCCTGCAAGCGAGCTCCATCTGGCGCCGGCTGCCCACGGAGACATAGACGTGGGGACAGCCCACTCCCAGGACCACCGGGCACTTCCTGCCGGGAGGGCTGCAGTAGGAACCTAGGAAGTCGGCCCCAGAGCTCCCAGCGCTCAGCCCGGGAGGGCAGCCGGTGCCCCACAGAGCCTCGGACTCGAGTCTGCACACTCAGTGGGGTCAGCGACTTTATTACTCTCCGGACTGGTGAGCTGTCCCCGCGCGTCCCACGGGCAGGCGCCTCTGCCCACCTCATGCTTTCCGGGTTACAGACGGACAATGGGACCAGAACCCACAGACCTGGTTCGGCTCGACAGAACCGCCGCCCTCCCTCCCCCTGCCCCCAGTCTGTCCTGGGATGGGGGTTCCTAGGGACAAGAGCCAGACCCCTCTCCTTCAGCTTCCGCGTCATCAAGGGCCTAGCCTTCTTCCCTGAGCTCGTCCTTCTGCCCAAGGTCCCAGGGCCTGGCCTCGGCTCTCCGGGCAGGGTAGGGCGGGGAGGGGGAGACTGGGCGCGGTTAAGGAAGAAGTGGGGAGGGAGGGTGCCCCCTCCGGGGCACGAGAGGGGGAGGGCGGAGGTGGAACCCAAGGAAAGCAAGACCTGGGAGAGGAAGGAAGCCACGGGGCGGGGGATGGGCACCGGAGACCCGGAAGTGGGAGGGGAGAGGGACAGGGAGAGGAGGAGAGGGA